CACTGTCATCTTGCTACCATCTCTCGTGACATTCGTAACCTTCGTACAGCGTTCCCCGTGGCATTCGTGCCACCTCAATACGGATCAGCCCGACGAAGAATACAACTAAACATATCTTGATGATTAATAAAAAGTGTCGGGGAGGCTATTTTACATATGATCTCTACTTAAACCCTAACGCTAACACTCTAAGATTTAACTAATTTCGGGTAATCATGTGATGGACAATGCTTTGACATCCCCCATTTTTATTCAATTTTTAGCAATATCTGGTATATATTAGCGATATAGAAATATAAAGTTATTCGTGTAAATGAAAACCCGTTTTAGGGTGATGTTTAAAGCAGTGTCCATCACATGATTGCCAGAAATTAGTTAATGTTAGAGTAAAAGGCTGGGTTAGCGTTAGGGTTTAAGTAGATATCTTTTCTGATCCGTATAAATGTTTTAGACGATCCCTAAAAATGGAATATTTATGTACTTATAACTCACATAGAACAAAGAAAAAAAATCAAATCAGTAGTCACTTATCATAATTAGATAAAAAAAAAAATCATAAGAAAATATTACTTAACGTTTAATGGAATGGACATTTTTATGTAAAAACAAAAAAAAATTGTCAAGATAATGCTTGATAATAAAATTTTACATTCTTATTTATGTAATATTGATAAGATAGAAAAGTAAAATAACAAATTTAATTTATTTTTAAATCCGATTAGATATAGATGATGATGGTGTTGCTGTTGTTATTATAGGTAAACGCGTATTATTTTAAGGGTTCAATTTATTATTATTATTTATTTTATTTATTTATTTACTATTTACCCGAGTAAAAGGAAATTTCATAATAATAACGAAAATAACAAATCATTGTACCATAAAATGTGTATTATTAATGTATTATTTTTATTTGGGGTGAATTATAAGGAAGGAAAAAGAGGAAAAGATATAAGGAAGAGATTCATAAATAATAAGTGTGCAAATTACTGCGTGAATTTTGCTACTGAACATAGACAATGCACACCCAGTCCGATGTTTAAAGTTCTAACTTAATATATAACACATAAATGTAGTATTTCTCGGTAATGATGATAAACTCGTGTTTTTTCTTTGTTTCACTACTTATGAAACTTTTGAACGACGTTTGACCCTTGCGCTTGACATGGCACATTTGTTATGCATAATCTTACCTTATTGAGATTTATGTATCATTTTATCCTAAACATGCATATTTTTACCATATTTCATTATAAAATATGTAAATGAATTGAATCGTAAAGAAACAATCTTCGAATTGATCATTTTGTCATATCAATAAGTATAACAAACAATAACAATAGAAAGGGAGGTCCCTTAATAAAAATAATTATACAAATATTACATTATATTATGAATATTTAGAAAAACAACAAATAAAAAATATTATGTAAATTATACGAAAGTTAACGCCTTCAATCTTGCTTGCTTTCCTTTATCATCCTTTAAAATAATTGGAGAATTCATTCGTAACCAATCTAAACTCGGATAATAGTAATACTAAATTTATGAAACATGTGTATAAAAGAGGCTGTGAATTTTCTAAAGTTAGATAATTGAATGTTCATATCTGAGACATTAGTGATATCCAACGTACCTGAGTTAATATTTGGTAATATGGCAGAGCAACAAACATTTGTTTAATGTACTTATTTGTACGTACGAAATTTTTGTAACTTAAAAAAAATTTTTTTCAAGATCAAAAAAAAAAAAAAAAAACGCCATGAAATTCGAATTCATGTTGTACGAATGTCAAGATACTTCCGAAAATTCTTTAGTTATCATAATGTTTTCAACAATTCAATGACCTTTTACCAATTCATTATTTTAACATGTTCTTTATTAGTCTTTTAGTTTTATACAATACCTTTAACATCTTTCGTAAATTTCGAAACCTCGAAAATTAATGATATAAACAGTTATCATTCATTCAATTATTAATTATATATTACTATATTAGGTATACAAAAAAAAATTTTCAAATCTACATTTAGTAATACACCCTTGAGTATTTATTTGCTTAGCTTCAGGTTGAAACGTGTAATAGATTTAAATGGAAATAAAAACAAATAAATACCTGTTTTAATATTGATTGGAAAATGAATGTATAATTGTTATCTGTTATTGGTTAATTGAACTACTATAAAGTACATAATTTATATATTGTGTTGATTGTTGATTATTGTTAACATTTGATATTCTGAATTTCCACAAACAAAATAGGTTTGATTCAACATGTCTCCGTAAAAATATTTTCAATACTCTAAATATCACAATAAGCTTTCCCACTTTCTTACTGGATAAATTATTTCTTTACTTGGTGCATAAATTAAACAAAACAGTTATAAGAATAAATAAAGAATAAGAGAAATAATGTATAAACTGATTATCAAACATTCTTCGTGCATATTTATTATTCTCTTAATATATTATGTTATGATCTTTATATGATTATCTACAATTTGTTTTCTCTATATAAACGACGAAAAATTTGCCTTCCAATTTTTTTTTCTTTTCCATCAATAATCAACTACGCTAGCCGTTGTTAAATAAATAATCCGTTTGAAAAAAAAGAAAAGTTTCTTTTTTTTTAAAAAAAAAATAAAAAACCAATTATTAACAGATTCTATTAAATTTGCGCGAGTCGCAACATAAAAATTTTTTTTATCCATTAAAAAAAAAAGAATTTTTTCTTCTTTTTCAAACCGTCTCATCAAACTTTTGTATTTAAAATAATTCTTTTTTTCCTTTACCTGTAATTCAAAACTTGCTTTGATTTAACAACAACTCCTTCTTAAAAAATTAAAAAAAATCATCTTTTCTTTAAAATTTTGATAATTTTAAAGTCTTCTTTTTTTGAACACATCCATTATACCACAAATCAAAAACATAAAAAAATGTCTTCAGTTTTCACCAACTCTCGATTCATGTTTCTTGTTATGGTGATCGTCGTTCTCTTGACTTTCAATATTGACTCCTTTAATTCTGCTCCTATCGGTGTTCCTAAAAATACTAATATTTTTAAAAGAGAAACCGGTCAAATAACTTATTACAACCCTGGTTTGGGTGCTTGCGGAATAACCAGTTCTGATCATGAATTTGTTTGTGCTATACCTGCAGTCGTGTTTGATAAATATACTCCAAATGGTAATCCAAATAAGAACTCAAAATGTGGAACGTATGCAACGGTTACTCGAGGAACAAGATCTGTTACTTGTAAAATTGTGGATCGTTGTGTAGGATGTAATGCTGCAGATATTGATTTATCTCGTAAGTATTACTTATTATTTATAAATAATAATATTATATATTTATATACTAATCTTATTTCATTAATTGATTTTATTAAATGATTTAGCTGCTGCATTCGAACAAATTGGCAGTCTCTCAGAAGGTCGCGTCGAAGGTAGTTGGGCGTAATAAATCTTCCTTCGAAACCTGAGCGACGAATATTATCCTATTTCTTTTTTAAAAAAAAAAAATCAAAGAAAACTTTTTCATTTTTTAAGTCTTTTGACAAGATTTGAAAAAAAATTATATTGGAAAAAAAAATTTTTTATTTTATATACAGTATATCAATCATTCCCTTCATGAAAAATTAAATTTTACCAAAAATCACCTAAACGAAAAAAATTTTAACAAATTCAACGCATATATCGTATTTTGTAAATACTTTATAATAATTAAAAAAAAAAGTGTAAGATATTCATTTATTAATTCCCTTGCTTGTTTGTTTGCTTGTTTATTTTTCCACAATTTTCATAATTTTTCATTATACGCCTTTCACTTCACTTGATGTCTTTTTCACATTTTTTTCATGAAGCTCATTAAAATACATCATACATAGATTAGAATTTTTTCATAAAATTGTGACATTCATATTAATGATATTATACATAATGTCATTTGGCTATTTTGTATTATAATAAAAAATCAAATCTTCATTAATTTTAATAAATTTAAAAATAATTTACTGTATTAAAAAAAAAGGTCCGAAAAAGTCAATGAAGTCTAATCTTTTTGAGATAAATTGGTATGGTATCATATATATCATATCCTATCATATATTATATCAGATATATCAGATATTATATCATATAATCTTTCTTTGTTAAAAAAAAAAAAAGAAAACAAAGGGATTCGAAATTGATATGTTAAGTTTAAGACTCATTTAGTTAGACCAGAAACTTTAAAAATCTTGTTGCACGTGATACCAACTATTACAATTTTTTTGACTTAGAAAAAGAAAAGTGATATTCACAAGAATTTATAATTGGGAATATGAAAATTTGTGTATATTGAAATCTGGAAAACAAGTCTCTTAAGCCTCTTCTACTTTGTTAAATTTTTTTTTATAAAAAAAAATTATCAGTTATTTTTATTTTAATAAAAAAAAAATCAGCATATCAGATTGAGGGAAATCAATTTTATTTTAGATGCTTTTTTTTTATTACAAAGGATCAAACAAAAATAAAGAAGACCTGTTTATTTATATTATTTATCTTTATCGTTTTAGCAATAAGAATGAAATCATATTTGATTTAGAGAATTTCTTGAGATTCATTGATGATTCATTGATGATTCATTGACCATTCATTGATTCATTGATGACTAATGTTGTAATACTAATTAACAAAAAGAATATCATTAAATATCATTAAAATTATAGAAGTCGAATATTTTTATTGTTTTTATTTCAATTAAATTAATGCAGTAATACATGTTTTTGATTATCTATATCTACATATAATGATATATAATAATATATAATAATATATAATAATATATAATAATATATAATAATATATAACAATATATAATGTTTTAAAGATTAGGATTTACACGACACGCTATAAAATGTATCAATCATTGAATTTAAAAAATTGATTTTATTTTATTTATATTATGTTTAATTATTGACTATAAATATTTACCCGACTTTCACATATTTCGACAAAGACTTTAAAAAAAAAAGCTGAATTTGTATCAATTGTTATTAATTGTATTGATTGTTATATGTATTGATTGCATTAATTGTGTTTTCTAGAAAAATAAAAAAATTGCCTAAATTAGGGTTGAATATAGAATGAAGTGCAGTATAATAAATACCAATTTCCTCTTTTAGGAAAGCGGAAATTAATTAGGTGCATCCCATCCAAAATAATTTAAACTCCTGATATAAATATTGGAAGAGTATTTAATAAAGTAAACATTGTTTAGCAATGTTTAGCGTACTAAGTCGTATAATATTGGATTTATTTTTGGCAAATAAATGGTTTGCTGTAATAAGGGGTCTAAAAAAAACTTCATGAGTTAGACGAATTTAATGCATGTTAACATGACCTGTTGTTACCACTGAGGAGTTTAAGATAAACACTCAAATTGAACAAATCTAATAAGAATATTAAGTGTATTTACTAATAGGGAAGCAGATGTGAGTTACATATAACTATTTTAGGTTATTACTATTTTAGGTTATCACTGTCATAAGGTACAAATTAAACCAACTACTTTATATTTATTATTACTATAATTCGCACAAATAATTAATCGATCAAGTGAAGACATTTATTAAACTTTTATTCTTAATCTTTACGTTTTGATTTACGTCTCGATCTATAAGAAAAAAAAAGAAACATTTTCAATTCAAATTACCTGTATATAGTATTTGGAATCTGTATTAATGTAACACAGCAACAGTTAAAATTAAAAAAAAATCGAAGATATAAGTGGTTCAGAGAAAGAAAATCTTTATTTATATATGCAAAATTGAATGGTACTAAGTAAAAATAAATAAATGAAATAATAAGATTGCGTATGTATATGATCTAGGAAGGACGTATTAATGGAATGATGGAATGGAATTGATATAATAAAATTATATTCTATGGTATTTAATGAAAATTTTATTCAGACGGCGAATTCTTTACGTCTAGTTTAAAATTCTATTTCATGCATATATGCAATATATGCAATTTATTTAATTTGTTTTTTATAGATCTTTATTCTTTTGTTATTTCTCTTCCTTCTTTGATTTCTTTCTTTAATAAGATATCTTTATATATATATATATATAATCTTTTTTACAACTTTCAAGGGGTTGGGGAGGCGACGGGGACGTTGGAGCCTAAAAATTTGACATCAACTTTAAAACGACCTTCATCAGGGTGTCCAAGTTGATTAAATGCAGTCTATTATTATTTATTAAATAGAATAAAAGTTTAAAAAAATTAGAATTTTAAAATTATAAATATAAAAGAAAAACAAGGAAATAAACAAAACAAAATACATACAGAACTCAAATCGACATCACCAAATTGGCAACCATGGCAACGATCAACACATTTAACTATAACTTTCTTTACTATGTTACCAACTTTACGACTAACTTCAGCGAATGTACCACAATTAGGGTTATTATTTGGATTTCCGGCAGGTGTTCCTTGATCGAACATTTCCCAATTCATGGCATATACCATTTCAGCATCGGTATTATATGTACCGCAAGCACCAAGACCGATACTGTAGAAGGTACAATCGCCTTTGGTATCACCTATCCATACTCCATTTTCTATATGAACGGGAGTGAAGCCAACGGTGGTATTGGTATCGGAAATGGGTTTGGGTTTTTTGCCTCTTTTAGCAATCGCACGGAAGGAGATGCTAGTTGCAGATGCGGATTCCAACATAAGGACCACTAAAGCAAATGCAAAGAAAAGAACAACGGATTTTTGGAATGAAATCATGTTTTAATGATGATATTAGATAGTTTGGAAGAGTGAATTAACTTTTCTTGTAATGGTGTGATGAAGAAATAATAATATATTTTAAGAATTTTTATTAATTGCGGGAGGGAAGAGTAAGAAGATGAGGAATGAGGGTAAGTGGTTTCACACCAATTAGAATTGTCGTGAATAAAATTTTTTGATGACAGTAAAGAAAAAGAGAGGAGAGGGGAAGCACATCTTTTATAAGAAACGAATTTCATTGTAATTGTTGTAGTCGTACAATTTATTATAAAAGATTATTATTATTATTATTATTAACATTTTGTAAAAATTTCTTGGATGATTTTTTTCAATAATAATAATAATTATTATTATTTATTTATTTTAATTTTTAATTATTAATTACATCTTAATGACACATTGTTACATCCATTAATATTGTGTAAATATAATTGCACTTTTATTATTTATTGCCTTTGTACATTGCGTTGTTCTATCTTAATAAGAAAAAATTCAAAGTTTTTTTAATGCATTCGTAAGTCATTTAGATTAGATTTAATTACTTTAATTACTTTATTTACATTTATATAACTCCTAATCTTCATAGTGTATAAATATCAATATCTTAATTAAGAATATCATATTTTAACCTACTCTAGTTGAAATATCCGCGGTTAACCCAATTTTGTACATTAATCATCACATCCCATGTTTTCTTTGCATATAAAAAAATTTAGTACGAATTAAAAATAATCATGGTAAATAAACAAATATAAATAACATATAATAAATTATTTTTTATTATCATCAAATTCGAGAAGAAATTAAGCATTCGAACGAATCATTTGATTAAGTTTGTTGGAAATTTAAAGAAATTTCGAAATTCATATATGCATTAATAATAAAAAAGAACCAATGAAATTCTTTCTACTTGCATTAGGCACATTTATGCATACATATTATTATGCATTTTTCTTAATACCTAAAAATCTTATAAATGTATTCACTATTTACCACAATAATAAAAGTTAGGAGTAATGAATCATTAAATTATGCGGTCTCCTTGCATGCCTTAAGTATTTACTCGATTGTCCACTAATTATTCGTCATTGATGATTAGAAATTATCGTAATTAATAACAATCACTTGTTATTTTAATTTATCATTTTAATGCATTGCATTTAAAAAAAAAAATTAAAATCTTAAACGTTTCTTTATCTTTTAATAAACATCAAAAACTTCAAAATTTTCTTTGCTTATTTATTTATGGATTATTATATTATGTTATTATAATATTGGAATGTCATTGTGTCAATCTTCCTGTTTTAAGCTATAAATTTAAAAAATCTCGCACAGAATTTATTAAAATTTACCAAATTTATTTATTCATCTACACAAAATTAAATGTGATTAATTAGAGTAAATTTGTACAATATAAATATCAAAAGAGTTGATGCACTCCGGATATATATGCAATTTATGCCTTGATGTCTTTAATGCTTTGATATTTGTATATGCAAAAATTAAGAATTTCTTTAACATATTTTTACTTGGATCATTAAAAGCAAGCATATTGTTATAATAAAATTTTGAGTTATTACTATTATTTTTTTCTTTCATTGTCCCAAGCTTTACATATACTGCACTGTCAATTATGCAATTAAAGTGAACTTTAAACAACCAAAGAAAAAATAATCCTGATTTAACATAAAAGTACACAAGGTTAAATAATTTTATTAAAAATACTGCAGTTGAATGAGCTTATTATTAATAAAGATTTAACTGGGAATTGGTCATTGTCGGCCATTAATATCTTATAAAAAATCTCTTTTAATATCTACATATAGTACATTATTTTGGCGATCACGAATAAAGGTTTTTTCTTTAAATGATTAAATGCAACCGAAAACTATATAGAAAGAAAGAAAGAAAGAAATCTCTAAAAAGAAAATAGCCCAAAATGTCATAACAACGGATGAATAAAGAATGAAAAATAATCCATTTTTTTTTGTGATTACCTCGTGATTTATTTGCTCCAATACTTATATGATACATTTATTCCATTTTTTAAAATGTTTTAACATAAATTCATCCTAATTTTACTTCAAAATCATACTGATCAGGATCAAATGCTGAATATTTGAATATATTTATATTTTCATATTATTTTAGTGTATTTTTAATTACATTTTATTTTTTTGTAAAACTTAATTCAAAGTAATTTTTGATTTGAAATTTTTTAGATTGTTCTTGTTATTTATCCATTTCTTCATATTGATTCTCTTTTTTTTTTTTTTGGAAAACTACAGGTCTATAATTATCAGGATTAGTATTCCGATATTGTTTCATTAAAGTTATATATTCGGGTGGAAGCAATAACTCTATCACGTTCATGATCATCATAGTTTGTTTCACCTCCCCACATTACCTGGTTTTTATTGTCCACAAAGAACTTCAAGTGTAATTATGGAGATTCTCATATACAATACCATATATATATATTTTAATGGTTTTATAAAATAATCTTCTGTACGTATCATAAATCATTTTAAATATATATATATATATTTAATAATGAAAAAGAATAATAATTGTCTTTAAAAAAATGTCTTAAATCATTACCAAAATACATTAATTCAAAATAGGTTGCAAGTGATTGAAAAGTATTATCAAGTGTGTCATCTAATAATTGTATATACAGTACAGTCATATAATTAATATTTCAGAAAAATTAAATAGAACAGAAATTAATAAATATAATGGTTGTAATTGTAAAAAAAATGTATTGCTATTTGAATAATTTAATTTTTTTAAGATCTTCCTTCTGTCAGATGCTTTATACTGTATTCCCATTCAATGACAAGTGAAATAAAACAGTATTTTGATTTTTGTTGACATTCTTGAATTAATTTGTCATTTTCATCATTTCTAGATGTCCAAATTCTATTTTCATAATAAATAATATTCTAAAACCCGTTATTAAAAAAATAATGACCATATATTATAAACGATACTTTTGACACTCGAAATCTATGAATTACACGTGATATACGCACGATGATATATATGCGTAATCTTTCTGATGTAACTTCGTTCAAATATGAATACTAGAACATTTCATAAATTACATTATGCGTATGGGAAAACTCCTATTACCACTACTGTTATTAATTTCAATGGACTGAAATTTATACCTATTCCAAAATTAATAAAAGGTTAAATCTATTCCGATTTCTTAGTTCTCAAACATATTTCATTTTATAATGATCTGATTTTAGAAATTTATTTCTTCTTTTGCGTAGATTTATTTCAGTTCAAGTCACCACTTCCCAAAAGATTCTCTACTATTTCTTTTAATTGGAATCCTAACAAAGATCCGTTTAAAATCCCAATAAATCAAAAACAAAATCCTATTTCAATATATTATAAAAATCGTAAAAATTATATTTCTCCTTCAAAATCCATTTTATTTAATTCTCATATAATTTTTGGAAATTCAAGAATTAAGACAGGTTTTCCTTTGATAATTAAAAGTTGTAACAATACAATTCGATCTTTTACATCTAAACCTTCATTTAATAAGTCGATATCACCACCTAGCAATGATTTAAAAAAGTTGATAGCACTTGGTGGTGCGATTTTAACTTTTGTTTATCTTAAAAAATTAGTATATTTTGTGATAAGTGGAATCTTCGCAATTATCGCCTATCGATCTATAAAATTATTTCTAGATTTAATTTTTCCGCATAATATTTACTCTATATATCAACAACAACAACATCCACGAACAATTCAAGAACAAAAACGTCAAGAATTCCCTTTCAAAACACCATTTTTTAAACCTTTTAATATAAATAGAAATTTGATGGTTGATAGATTATATGATTCATCTATTAAACAAATTCAAATGGCTTATGATAACAATTATAATGACTTTAAATATCAACTTGATGGATACATTGATTCTTCTTCTTCTTCAATTAAATTTTTCGAACCTCACTCGGTTTCATCAAGATCAATAGTACTTGGAGCTCTTCAAAAAGAAAATTCTGTGACGATTGAATATTGGATGAGTGGTATTACTGGTAAAAAAGTATCTGTAAAAGCGATAGGAAGTTTTGATCAAGATGATTTAAAAATCAAAGATATTATAGTGTATTGGCCTCATGCAGGTAAAAAGATCAAGATCCCTACTAAATTTGAGTTGGATGGTTACAAATTTCCAACACAATCACCAAAAATCTTTGAGGCTGAATATCGAGATATTAAAAAAGAATAGACCTTTTTTTTTTTTTTTTGACAAGAAATTTAATATTTAAAGATAATTTAATAATTTAATATAATTTTTGTATTATAATCATTATTATAATAATATAAATAATGGTAATCCAAGAAATCAATAATTAATAAATTTCCCACAAACTAATTCTGTGATCTTTACTTCCCCCAACTAAATAATGTTTTATTGCTTCCCCCGCAAAATTCACTATCTTATTATTATTATCATCATTATCATTATTATCAATCAAATTAACATTTTCATTATTATCATCCGATTTCTCAAGTTGATTGATAGAATCTTGTTCAAAAATTCTAGAAAATGCCAAGGAATAAATACTATCACGATGATATGATAATATCGCTAATGGTTTTAATGTTTTTGAAGAAAATACGCGAATCCTTATTAAATTTTACAAGAAAAGAAAAGGAAATTAGATCACGAAGATTACGAATCAAATCTGTAAATTATAATCATTACTTCATGAAAAATAAAATTAAATAAATTAAATCATACTTTGCATCCCATCCAGCTGTGGCAAAAATCTTTCCATCTGATCTAATCTTTACATCAGCTATTCCAGAATGTTTTAGAATTGTACTTTTTATTATTGGTTCGTTTTGGTAATTCTTTTATAAATTAAAAGTATATTTTTATTATTATTATTTTTTTTTAATCTTTATTTAAAATTAATTAATTCAATAAACAAGTAAAAAATATTTCCTCACCTCATCGAAAGTATATTTAACAATTTTATTATCTCCAGCAGTAGATATCGCAAATTTCTTATCAACCGAAATATCAAGACCCAAAGCTGATTTGAATTCCCCACGAAAAAAAATATATAATATATACACATATATAAATAATTAAATAATGCTTAATAATAACAATAATAATTATAATTAATTATATTCACCACTTTCAACATGTTCTTTGCAATTCCACAATTGATCTATAACAATCCTTTTATTATTATCATCTTTCGAAGATGTATCAATTTGATTAATTGTTATTGACCATAATACTACGCTACCATTCTCATAAGATGCTAACATCAAGTAATTATTTGGTTGGGAAATTGGAAATAATTTTAAGGCCATGCAATATCCTTTAAAAAATAATAATTAAAAAAAATATATTTATATTAAAATCTTGATTTAGATTCTTTTTTTTGATTGTTTTAATTCATTTCATTTTCTTTGATAATGAATAATGTTACAAAAAAAAAAAACCTCGTTCGCGTTTATTATCCAGCCCAATCGAAGACACAATTAATTCTTTATTTGAGAGATTCCAAATGTCGATCTAATAGAAATGATAATAATAATAATAATAAATTTAAAGATAAAATTATATTAATAAATCTTCTCTCCATTATATAAATATATTGAATCATCTATCTGTAAAAAATGTTACCAAAATAAGCTTACGCCGGAAGATTCTTTGATACTAGGGATTGCTACCAAAATTTCTTCCTGTTCAATTCCTAAATTAATTTAAAGTATTAAAAAATTATTGAATTGTCCATATTTGATCCATACTTTATATAATTTAATATTATATATTCCTATATTTCTTTTACCTTCTTTACAATATAAATCAAATTTACAAAAACTCGCCGAATTTATAAATAAACTATTTTCAGGATTTAATTTACTTTCTTCACAAAAAGGTTTTAATTCATTAATTTTTAAATTCTTTAAATATTGATTTAATTTCCAAACATGAATGAAATTATCTCTTCCATGACTAAAAGTTGTTCATAATTATCATATTTGAAATTATTAAAAAAATAAATAAATTTAATATGATTAAATATTTATTTATTTATTGTTATTAAAGAAAATTTTGATTGATGCAAAAAAAAAAAAAAAAAAAAAAATTAATACCTTATCAATTTATCATGAAAAAGTGTAACTCTCAATATCCCTTTAGTGTGTCCTTTAAATTTTATAATTGGACGTTTCGTTATCAGGTCCCAAATGATAATGGTTCCTCCTGAATCTCTTATAAAAAATATATAAATTAATTTATAGTGACAATAAATTACTGTTTTTTTTTTGTTTTTTTTTTCTTTAATAATCGCTTACTATATACCCTGATAAAATATATGAATTATTTTCATCGAATTCTAAACTCATTATCTGTTCTTCATGTCCACGAAATATGTATTTTGGATATATTGGGTTAGATATTGAGGATATTGAATTCTTAGTAACGATCATATTAAACTTTTAGGCAGAGATCGGGATGAAGAAATATATATATATATAATTGAGATATCAACGGAATTATTTATTCATTTGTGTAATGTGATTGTAGATCTAATAACTTTAAATTGTGGAACTCTAGATTCCTCATCCTTGTACATTGTCCTTCATCTTTGTGTGTCATCTTTAAAAATAGAAAAGGACATGTTTAGATGTGACAACAAAGGATGAAGGAAAACAAGTTTGAAAGTGTATAAAATAAACTGGTAATTTAGAATGTAAAAGGGATTGGCTTATTTTTGCAAATTCTTATAATTCTTAATTTTCTTTTGATACATTTTCAAATAAATACAAAAATCTTTTACCTAATTTGTAATAGAATAATAAACAATCTTTTGGTATGCATTTTGTAATAAAAATTAAATAATAAAGATAGAAACATATTGTTTCAATTTAGCAGCAGAGATAAGACACACCAAAGCAGTGATATATTTTTGTTATTACATCTTTGCAATAAGTTTAATAGTTTCAACATACTCCATAATAATTTGATACATTTTTAATACTTTATTTTGTGATAATGGTAATATTGGTGAGAAACAGTTAACAGCCTGTTACTAATTTTGTAATTTCTTGAATAAAGTTACTGAATAAAGTCTGAAGTTAAGATTTGAAAGTTTGTGTAATGAGCTGTAAAAGCATCAGGAAATTTAATTAGGCGTAGATTTACGGAAATATCACATGACCTCCGGAAATTTATGCCTGAAAAATTTGATTTTTTAACTTCAGCCGAGATTTAAGCGACAGGGAGCGATTTTCTACTAAGATATTTCTAAGATAGATCGAAAGCCCTGGTTTTTGGCTA